TCATTAACGAAATAAAAACAAAGGCAGAAAATATTCCCTTAACATTTGACATAAATCCTCTGGGTCCAGCCCAAATTAGCCTTAATGATCATTTCTCCATAAAAGAAATGGAAGTAGCACTCGTAAAATGTAGAAGTAAAAGCCCTGGTCCCGACAGAATACCATATTGTTTCATTCACAATCTTGGCAAGATCGCCAGAAATCACTTACTACATTTATTCAATACAATATGGAAATTAGGAACTCTTCCCAAAGATTGGAAAAGAGGCACAATTATTCCAATTATCAAACCCGGAAAAAATAAACACTCCGTTGAGGGTTACAGACCAATAACTCTGTTAAATACTATGACAAAATTGATGGAAAAAATGATAAACAGCCGACTTATTTGGTTCCTGGAAAAAAATAATATCTTAAATAAAGAACAAAGTGGTTTTCGTCGATCGAGATCCACAATTGACAACCTACACATAATTAAATCAGAAATCGAACTAGCTCTTGAAAACAAACAATCACTAGGAATGTTAAGCCTTGACATATCTAAAGCCTACGATTCTGTATGGAAGCACAGAGTACTTATAATATTAAGTAAAATATTAGCATACGGTAATATGTATAAGTATATAAACGATTTCCTTATAGACCGGCATTTTCAAGTAAAAGTATCCAATTCACTTTCAACCCCTTTCTCACAACAAAACGGTATACCTCAAGGATCCTCATTGGCAGTAACTATCTTTCTATTAGCAATAAATGACATCGTTGAAACAATAAGGACACCTGTAACTGCCAATCTATTCGCAGATGATTTCAACATCTTAATTAGAAGCCAAAACACAAAGACGGTACAATATTACCTACAAAAAACCATTGAAAGTCTTACAAAGTGGTCTTATAACACTGGCTTCAATTTTTCCAGTGAGAAATCCCAATATATTTTATTTTCAAAAAAAAGAAACCAAGAAATACCACAATTAAAAATAAACAACAGAATTATTCCAACTAAAAATCAAATCAAAATCCTCGGCATAATATTCGACTCAAAACTCAGTTGGTTACTCCATTTAAAAATCACAAAAACGTCTCTAATACAAAAACTCAATATAATAAAAATCATTTCACACACATCCTGGGGAGGCGACACCTCCTCACTATTAAAGATTTACAGAGCATTAATTAGATCTAAAGCTGAATATGGTTCAACCATACTTGGTACGGCCAACAAAAAATACTTGAAAATGCTTGATACACCTCTAAATACGGGATTACGTTACGCACTAGGTGCCTTCAAATCCAGTCCCATTGAAAGCTTGAGAAACTTAGCTAACGAGTTATCACCCGATTTAAGAAGAACATACAACACTCTTCTATATACAGCCAGATCACTCATAAATATCGAAAACCCTTCAAATAAATATCTAGCCAAAAACATAATAAAAGCTGAAGAATATCACATAGACTTAAAACATCTAGCAAGAACAAAACCCCCGTGTTTCCCCCCCGTGGAAAACGTATTTTGACATAAACCTAGAAATTTCCGAATTCAAAAAAGAAAACACCAGTCCTATTATGTACAGAAACGTCTTTCAAAACACATTACAAAAATACCCCAACTACAAACATATCTACACCGATGCATCAAAAACAGACCAAAACGTTGGAATATCTATAATAACGGAAAACTCCTCCTCCTCCTACAAACTTCCCACTGTATGTTCTATTTACACAGCCGAAGCATTATCCATATATAAAGCATTACAAAATATAATCATAAATAAAGAAACGCCACACAATAAATATTTAATTCTTAGTGACTCGCTTAGCAGCTTAACTGGCATTAATAACTTTACAAATCCATCAGATATATCTAAACTTATCCAAGAAAAAACCTATGAAGTAAGTCAAAAAGGAATAGAAATAGCCTTCTTATGGATACCTGGACACTGTGGAATTGATGGAAATGAATTGGCAGATCAAGAAGCATCTAAAGCAGCCTCATCTACTGACACTCATATGCTAAATTTTAGTACTTATAAAGATTCTAAAAAACTTATACAGATGACCCTATTTCATAAATGGCAAAATCACTGGTCAAAACAAAACACCAAATTAAACACAATAAAAAATAATATCCAAGTATGGAGAAACCCCGGTTTAAAGAGGAAAGACGAAACTATTATAAATCGTCTCCGTATTGGGCATACCTTCGCAACACACAACCACCTCATGGCTAGAAAAGACCCTCCCATATGCGAAACATGCGGAGTGGTGGTCACTGTCAAACATATAATCATTGATTGTTCCATGTACGTAGACTCAAGATCCAAGCACTCCATTCCATATCAACTTAGTGAAGCCTTACAGCCAGACCTTCAATCAAATATCAACATAATCAACTTCTTAAAGGAAATCAAACTGTACAACCTAATTTAAGAATTTTTATATCAATTGTAAAACCTTAAAAATAAAAAAAAAAAAAAAATAATGTATTACTATAACTAATGGCCACGTAGCCGATGTTTCTTTTTGTTCAATAAAAAAAAAAAAAAAAATAACATAATAATATAGGGAATAACATTATATTATAAGTATATAATATATATTATTTTTTCATACATATTAAACATAGTAAAAAATGCAAACAATACTAATCCACTTTTAGGCAAGAATTAACACGTTCACTCAAATATCAACTCTTAGGCCTACAAAACAATTCATGTGATTGAATGTGCACATTCTACCCCTGTACATCATCGTTGCATATTGCATTGTCTGTGGTAAACACTGATACTTATACTGATTTTCTAGTTCTTCTGTTCAGTTATTTGTATTTAAAGTGATTAAATATTTCAATATGAATCGTAAGACAAGTGACATTTGGTCTCATTTTACTGTGATAGAAAACACAACATTTGCAAAATGCAATATTTGTAAAAAAAAAATATTCTTTTAAAACTAGTGTAACAAATTTAAAAACGCATTATTTTAGCAGTCATTGGATACAAATATATACAGCAAAACAGGTATGTTTATTTTACAATTTTTAAATAAAGAATATTACTTAAGTAAGTATAGTAAGGTATACTCAATAATAAAAGCTTCTTTTTCTGTAGTCGAACGAAGAAATCATTGACGATCCAGGTCAATCTGCTAGTGATCAATTTCCCGCTTCTTCTTTAAATATATTAAATCCACCTCCATCAACATCTATTCAAAATCCAACTGAATCAACATCTTATGATAATCCACCTCCATCAACATCTAATCAAAATCCAATAGTTAATATCCATAAAAGAAAACAAACTAATATTTCAGAATATGTTCCAAGAAAAATGACATTTGAAACACAGAAGAAAATTGACGATGCCCTAATAAAAATGATAACTAAAGATTTTCAACCTTTTAAGATAGTCGAAGACGAAGGCTTTAGACATTTTGTTCATCTGTTAAATCCTTCATATAAAATTCCGAATCGCCATACATTGTCCAAAGTACACATACCAGCATTGTATCAAAGATGTTTAAATGAAACGAAGGAAATGATAAAAACTGAAGCTGAGTGTGGTTGCATTACTACTGATTGTTGGACATCCAGAAGTAAATATGGGTTACATCGCTATTACGTTTCATTTTATTGATACCAATTTTTGCCTGAAATCGGTTTTGCAAGGTTGCCATGAATTTTCTGAAAGCCACACAGGTTTAAATTTAAGTAATAAAATAAAATTAACATTAGAAGAATGGAATCTAGAAAAAAAATTTGTTTCGCAGTATCAGATAACGCAAATAATATACAAAATGCATTATCTAATCTTAAGATAAAGCATTTTGGATGCTTTGCTCACACATTAAATTTAATTGTACAAGGGGCTTTAAAAATTGAATCTAACTTAATAGAAAAAATAAAAACGATTGTGACTCATTTCAGAAAAAGTACATCAGCAAATAAAAAACTTAATAACTACCAAATAAGTAACGGTGCCAAAGAACCAAAAAAGCTTCTTCAGGATGTCAGTACTCGCTGGAATTCCACTTTGTATATGATTGAGCGTATGGTTGAACTAGAAAATTTTATTCGTGGAACTTTTGGTCTACTGGATAATCCTCCTGAAGGGCTAAATGCTGAAGAATGGAAAGTAACCAGAGAACTGTGCATAGTATTACGACCATTTGAAGAGGCTACAAGAGCTGTAAGTGGAGATAAATATATGACAGCTTCCATGGTAATAATATTGTCAGAAGGACTTAAAAATGTATGTAACCAACTGCAAAAAGAAAATTACCATTCTAGAGTACATAATGTTGTAAGCAAATTATTATCTGGAATGCAAGATAGAAATCGCTGGGGTTACATAATTGGTAGTAAGACGTTGGGCCACTGTACATTCCTCGATCCACGTTTCAAAAATATCCCGTTCACTGGAAATCTATTACAAACAATTAAAAGTGACATTATAGAAAAACGGCATCAATAATATCAGATAATAGGACAACAAGTACACCTCTATCCAGGCACGTATACAGGTTGGTTCATGAAAATTTCTTTAAAATTAAGTCAAATTTATTATATTCCTATTATTATAAAATATTTTTATAATTAGCTGTTTGTGACTAGTTTTCTCTGTTTATTAGTTGGTATGAAATACACGTTTATACCTATTATAGTATATAGTTGAATGATCGAGGTGATTACTGAGAACTACGTTCAAACACAGAACTGTATAGTTGCGATTTGCGATATACCTAGAAAACTCATACTTTTAGGATAATCTTATCTTATCTTATTTCCGTACCTACTCGATCGAACAAAATTTCTATTGAATTTCTAAACTACAGTCTACAATAATAAAATCATTAAACGATGACGATCGTTTAGTTTTAGTCTGTGTTCGGTATTAGAACGGTAAGTGCGATAGTGTTTGGTTATTTTGCGAGTTCTAACTTATGAAAACTGATTAACCAAATTTATTAAATATTATATATTTATTATTATTTTTACAATGAAAAATAGTGATCAACCATCTTTATTCAATTTTGGTGTAAAAAAAATTAAAAATAATGAAGAAACTGAAAGTGAATCGAGTAGTATTGAAAATATTGCAACCGAAGTTGATGTACCAAACGCTTTGCAGACCCAACTTGATACAAATATAGATAATGAATCGTTAAAAAATTATTCTCTGGATATTGGATTATTTTTATCAGCTTCTAATAATATAAATGATGCAAAAAAGTACGAGTTATTAAAAAATCCATGGACACCGCCCAAAAATTACCAATTTCCCATCGAACAACAAAGGCGGCTGAAATTTCAATTCGATTGGTTAATCCGTTTTCCTTGGCTTGTTTACTCCGAAAAAGTGCAAGGTGCCCTGTGTAAATGCTGTGTACTATTTGCCAATAACAGTGTTGGTAAAAGGATCCATCATAAATTAGGTGCTTTGATTATAAAACCTTTTACAAAATGGAAGGATGCCATTGAACGTTTTAATCGTCATTCAAACTCTGAGTATCATAAGCTTTCAATCATTCGCTCTGAAGAATTTATTAAAGTAATGGAAAACAAAAAAAATAATATTGCAAATGAGATAGATATTTCACGAAAAAAACAAGTCATTGAAAATCGATCTATTCTTCGTCTAATAATTGAAACCTTAATTTTATGTGGAAAACAAAATATTGCTTTAAGAGGTAATAATGACAGTGGAAAAATATATGATGAAAGTATAGAAACAAATGACGGGAATTTTAGATCTTTATTAAGATTTAAATCATTGACTGATCCTATTTTAGACAAACATTTAAAAAACGCAACTTCTTTTGCATCTTACACGAGTCCTAATGTTCAAAATGAAATCATTACTATTTGTGGCAATTTAATACAAGAAAATATATTAAAAAATATCAGAAATACAAAATATTTTTCTATTTTAGTAGACGAAACACAAGACGTATCTCGGTTAGAACAAATGTCTTTTTGTGTACGATACGTTGACGGTGTGTCAAACTGTATTATGGAAGATTTTCTTGAATTTTCAATTGTTCATGATATGACTGGTAAAGGATTATCTACTTCTATACTTCAGTTGCTAGAGAAATTCGGACTCGAAAAAAAATTTCTTGTAGGACAAGGTTATGATGGTGCTGCATCGATGAGTGGGCAGTTCAATGGCGTCCAACAATACATCAGAGGTAAAATAACACTCTGAGGTAACACTAGATACCTCCCTACACAATTTTATAATTTAATTTTTATATTTTAGAGGCTGTTCCACATGCGCTTTTTGTGCATTGCGCTTCTCATTCTTTGAATTTGGCTGTAGGAAGTTCATGTAAAATCGTATCAATTAGAAACTGTATTGGAACTGTATCTTCAGTAATAACATTTTTCCGAGCTTCATCGCAAAGAACAAAAACACTGATTGAATGTATTAATGAATATGTCCCACAAAGTCGAACAAAAACTCTAATACAAATGTGTGAAACGCGATGGGTAGATCGACATGAAAGCTTAATTAGATTTAAAGAATTATATAAAGCTATTTATTATGCATTAAAAAAATTAGAAGAGTGTTCAAATATAGAAACATCACGTACAGCTTTTCAGCTTTCAACTTCCATTAATAACTCAGTTTTTATCATAGCTTTACATGTGATTGAGAAGTTTTTTTCTTTAACTTTACCACTATCTATAGCACTACAAAAAGTAAATATTGATTTGTCATATTGTTATGAGCGAGTAACAGATGTATGTCAAATATTTAAAGAAATTCGAGAAAATGGCGATGATGAGTTTAAACAAATATTTTCTAATGTAGAAGAGTCTATGTTAGAAGGAATTATTGAGGTACCAAGAACTGTAGGTCGACAAACTGCACGTAACAATATTCCATCTGATTCTCCGGAACAGTATTACAAAAGATCAATATTTTTACCGTTTTTGGATCATTTTATTTGTCAATTACAAGATAGATTTACTAATCATCATCATGTAATGGCCAAACTACAATCACTTATTCCAAATTTTCTTAAAAATACAACTGATATAAAAGATTTTCAAGAGGTAGCGCTTTTTTATAAAGATATTTTACCTAATTATGAAACATTTGACGCAGAAATTAAAATATGGCTAGCTAAATGGAAAAATGTATCTGATAGAGACCGTCCAACTACATCATTGACTACTTTGTCTGCAATGTCTTATGATTTTTTCCCAAACATTCACAGTCTTTTGACAATTTTGGCCACATTACCTGTTACAACTGCTACTGCTGAACGGTCATTCTCAACTCTACGGAGACTTAAAACATACTTACGAAACAATATGGGAGAAACGAGACTTACTGGATTGGCTTTACTAAACATATACCGAAATGTTGATTTAAATGTAGAAGAAATTATCGATAGATTTGCAATGTTACCACGAAAATGGGATTTTATACTTTAGTTTGTATTTTTTTTTTATATAAAATATATAAATTGTTTGATTTTTTTCTTCTATCTATACTTAAAATGTTAATATACCTAGGTAATTGTATGTGCATATAATAATCAAATACATTTCTGTTCTGTTCATAATAGGTACATATTATTTAAAGTTTTATTTATTTTTATTACTATTATTATTCCTAATATTCCTATTTCCTAAATATACTTACTTCTGAACACTGAACAAATGACATACATAATAAAGTTTGAAAATGTAGCATAATAATTAAAAAATTAAAAATAATGAGTAAGTAGGAAGACATTGTTTTATTATGTTGCTGTACAATTTGTATTGCTATATTTTGTAAACCCCCCCCCCCGAAATTTTATTCTGTGTACGTGCCTGCTCCTATCGCAACATCATCGGAAAATGAAAAAGGTTTTTCAATTTGGAGTTCGATTGATTTAAAGGTGGCCCAAATTCAACCTACAGGAACTAACACCTCTAGAGCTATTATAGAGGTACAAAGGTACTTAGAAGATGACATACAGAACCGCAATACTGATGCGTTAAAATGGTGGAGGGATAACAAATACAACTACCCATATTTGAGTTAGCTTGCCAGGAAAACACTTTGCTGTCTTGGTACATCGGTGCCCTGTGAACGCGTGTTCTCAAAAGCTGGCTTACTCATCAGTGACCGCCGAAGTAGACTTAGCAGCAATAAAGTTGAAATGCTCCTATTTTTAAATCAAAATACATAAGTTATAGGGATAGTTATTGTTTAATACGATTTTATATAATTTGTATTTGTATTTAAGATTCTAAGGTTAATTTGAGATTTGTTTACAGTATATTGTTTTATCATTTAACATTTAATTATAATTTTAGGTGTACTTACAATTTGTTTGTTTGTTGTGTAGGTATGTGTATTATTTTTTTATTCACATTTTAGTTCACAGTTCAACAGTCAACAGTATCCAGTATTCACATTCCACACTACAGGTCCAGGATAAAATGTTAAATAAATAAAACAGTAGAGTACTAAAGTCTTTAAATACTAAATAGTAATGTTAGTATGTTATTAATTATTATGTTAGGTTAGGTAAAGTCGTATGTATCAATGTATGTTAGGTTGATTGCCGAATAACATGGTTATTTTTTCGTGAAGACCACGATTTAAGATAATATACTTTAAGTATATTATATTATTATCATTTATCATCTAAAACCGTGACAAAGGCATGCAAATTGTAAATATGCAATTATGATTATAGAAGTAATAATATTTTAGGTAACAGTAAACAATTAAACGAACACTCGAGACTCAACGTCAACACAATAATGATAATAATAGTAATATCTACTATAGACTATAGACTATAGAGCGAGTATAGAATAAACCAAAGTGGACAAAGTAGTATAGTACTATCTGGTCCTGATTAGCTATTGCAAGTAGAGCTTGCGATTTTGACCGAGTATTAACCAACACGTGTACACGGGTGCCGTGTACACGTATCTTAAACGTATTAATAACCGTGTAATTCAAATCCGGGTACACGTGTATTGATACACGTGTAATTATTCGAGAGTCCGTGTATCTTAAATACACATGTATTTAAATTTTGTATTAAATAATATTGTTATATTTAAAACTTATAGGCTGCAAGTATAAATTCCATGGTTGTTCTATCTATATCTTAACAATAATATATAGTTAAACGGTAAATCTAAAAACCCATATTTGTTATGAGTTATGTAATGACCGTAATCTGTTATGACCTTATAAGTGTATAAAATATATATATTATACTAATAGTATATGTTATATTAGAAGATAACTTTAAATGCGTTTAAAGTTTATCGTTGTCTCATTAGTAATTACTGTGACTTAGTGTTTGTCTCGTTCAATTTTGTTATCATGAATATTGCGTAATTTAAGCCTAGATAAAGTTTTGATTGTCATTTACAAAAAGAAAAGTTTCGCATTTCCTTTCAACGCGACGTTTATTTTACATTATTTTAAAACCCGTGTTCTTTTCTATTTTCTATTTTATATAGTAATTAAAAAAAGATAATTAAAATGAATAGTAATCGCAAAAGTTGGGTATGGCAGTATGCTAATCGGATAGAAAATAAAGCATATTGCAATTTATGTTCTGAAAATGAAAATAATGAGTTCTGTTGTAATGGTGGATCCACAGGGTCTTTAGGAAGACACTTAGCAACAATTCATAATATACAGCCGTTATCCAATAATTCTAAATCAAAAAGGTATGTACAAACTTAGTTTAAAATTTAATTTTTTTTATTAGTGTTAGGAATTCTAAATATTGAAAACATCATGAATATTTGCAAATTTGATATAAACATTTTTACGCGTTTCTAAAATTTTAATTTTCACGAAATCGAAAATCTACGCGTAACTCACTTTTTTTTTAATCTAACTATAGAGATGCTAGTCGTCATGAAATCGATAATCCTGAAATGTTCTGTGCTTCAACATCCACCTCGACTCAAAGCACTTCTGAATCACAAGTTACTGATAACAATCATCGTCAACCTAGAAAACGTCGTCGGACTTATGCCAATAGAAAAAACGATGACTTTTGTAATTCCGAAGAAACGGAACTTATACATCAGGCACTAGCTAAAATGATAGCCATGAATCAAATGCCTATATCATTCTGCTCAAGTGCTGGGTTTGAACAATTTATGAACATAGTGAAACCTAACTATAAAATATGCAAAGAAGAAGCAATTAAAAAAAGATTAAAATCATTGAAATTATCAATTCAAGATATTATACAGAGAGATTTAAAAAGTGCTAACAATATAGCTTGTACGTCTGACTGTTGGTCATCATTATCACAGGATAGTTATATTACGGTTACTGCACATATGATTAATGATGAGTGGTGTCCAAAGTCTTATACGCTTACAACTCATAAAATGGAAGAGTCTCATACGGCTTCAAATCTTGCATATCAATTGGAAAATACTTTTGAAAAATGGGAAATTGACCAAAAAGTAATTACAGTTGTTACTGATAATGCAAAAAATGTACTCTTCCCTAATTTCTGAATGGCGAGTGAGGTCTCGCGTCTTCGAGAAATTACGGGGCATTGGTATCACATGATTAACTCTAGGCTCGGTCGAGTGTCCGTCCTTGTATTCTGGCGTGCTGGAGTACGGGACGCGCATCCGTCTGATCCGGTTATTGGCCCCTCTCGCTGCCATGTTTACCGTGGTACCGAGTTGGGGTATTGGTTG